GTGTGTGTGTGTGTGTGTGTGTGTGCCTTTGCGTGTATTTTTATTAGTTTATTACTTTACAACGATCATTTGCCAACAAATACCATCTTTCTCTCTCACTCCCTACCAGGGTTCTTGGGCTTACAAGTACTGGAACGTAGAGGAAAACCTGAAGAAAAACCTGGGACGTGCCATGACCTTGTTGAGGGAGATCGTGGAAGAGGAACTCAAAGAGATGACAACTGAGGTCAAAGCCCTGTACCAGAACCCCATCACTGTGTGGATGCCAGAGCAAGGAGAGATCCAGGCACAGCTGGCCCTGCCCTTTGACCTCCAGAGACTGGACCAGGTCCCTGACGTGAGCCCCCTGGTCAACAAGGTGGAGGAGATTGGCCAAGAGGTCGTGACCTACTTGCCTGACCACAGCACCTGGGAGGACATCAAGCAGGTGAGGAGAATTCCTGGTTTTCTTGTTATGATCCTTTTTGCCAGTTGTGAATAACCATCGTTGTGTTATTGTACTTCCATTCTTTATAACTCCAACATTTGACAAGTTTATAAATGTTTCTTAAAAAATCGAGCATCACGAGTATCAAGAGTCCTAACCGCGTATCATTTCAACTGTCTATAATCCTACTCCCCCCAAAACTTAAAAAGAGTGACCGGTACGGTATTGAAAAATGTCCATGATTCCAGTAACAAACACTTGGAACACTCGATATTTTTATTTAGCTTCAAACTTCCTAATTGTTTTAAACTAAATCCTAACAACACACGTTTGCAACGGTTAACAATTTATGGTTAAACTACTTTGTTGTGTTGAACAAGACTCCAGCAAGAAACACTTGGGGCGCTCAACAATTTTTCATGTAATGTTAAACTATTCCACTGTATTGAACAAGTTTCTGGCATCAAACACCTGGAACAATCAACAATACATCTGAAACTGCTCAAAGGATCACCTGCCCAAGACAATCACCTGTACTAATAAAAGCTTCCTACTCCCTCCCCCCCACCCTTGCGTTTCTTCTACATTATATTGACACCATCTAAGACATTCACCTCTTTGAGACAACCTCTCTTCTCCTCCTTGACAATGGGCGGCCGACTTGGACAAAGTCGTTTTTTAATTAGCACTAGACTAATTCATTGTCTTGAAAAAAAAATAAGGCTCTTGTACTCGTGCATGAATGACCCAAACCTATACGTTCTGTCCGTCTAGACCCAAACAAATCAAAGTTGCTGAAACTAATGACCTGTGTTGTCTCCCCTGTCTCAGACCGTGTCTGGCCTGTGGCCGGTCCAGGAGGAGGGACAAGTGGAGCCGCTGGGGAAGTACCAAACCTCCAGGCAGTACCGTCAGCTCAAGAGGGGAGGCAGAAAGGTCAACAAGATGAGAAAATACGGGCAGTAAAAGAAACGCAATCCAGCAACCATGACCAGAAACGTACCACGGATTAACCCGATTATCCTCTTTGTACTTTAGTTACATTATTATTATGTAGAATGTTTTTGGAAACATTTGGAAGACTTTGTCTGAAACAGGTAAAATTGTAATAACATATGGGTCACGACGCGATGGAATCAGGCTCTCGTTAATTTTGGGGCAAGTAGAGTTATTGCTATCGTCTTAACGCTTGTTCATTTGTCTTGCTTTGGATGAAAAAAAATATCCATTTATCTCCAATAGAAGTGGAGCTATTTGTGATTGTGAAAGATGGGGTCGCTGTGTGTTAGGGGGGTAAAA